TGATAGATAAACTGGTTCTCTTTAAAAATGTAAAAAAAAATGTTTAGTTTATTATGCGAAATAAAAAAAATGCAACTTTAAAATTGAAGATTGCAGTTACGCACTCTGCCGGTCAATTTTAGAACTTGAAAATATTTTCCAGCGATTCTTCATGACCGATTTACCTAATAATTTTTTTAACCCCCAAGTCATATGACGAACGGTTCTCGAGATATGGCCGAGGAACAATCTTATTGGGTCACCCGGTACAAAATGGCTTCTTATTAACGAAATCGGACATCTTTAATCGTTGATTCGTTTTGTTCATTTTGCTCTACCAATTAAATAAAATTTTCTTTCATTTCATTCTTCGTTTCCACGATGCTGAAATGACTTCATGCGGAATTTGCACTTGTAATCAAATAGCTCTAGTTAAGATAACTGTATATGATCCCAATCCCCGACATCTGGTCTCCGGACATCCGGAATCCAAAAAGAAAACAATGCTCTACAGATTAAAAGACGCAGAAAGGACAATCTTCAATTCCACCAAATGTTTACAGATTTTTTTGGAAAATTGACCCTCTAATTTTCGGCATCCTGTATTTTTTCGATATGAAATGCTTAAACAGCTCTTGAATCTACAAAATATCAACTTAACCTATCTCTATACAATTCGAAAGATTACATCCAAATTTAGAGCTACCGTTACACCCCTTTCCCCAGTGGACGAAGTTCCCATATTCGATGTAAAAAAATTAAAATTGAAACACATGATTATTAATTTAGTTGCTCAAATTTCAATAGAAAAAATGTCCAAATTCGTGGGTCCATTCAGTCACTAGATGTGATTCAAGCACTAGAAAATTAACTAGGTTTGAAACGCTGTTAGGGACCCAGTAATATATGACCGATTCTCAAAAGTCACTAGATATGAAAAGTCCCTAGAAAAATAACTAAGTTAATATTTAATTTTAGGATGCAAAATTCATGGTAGTTCTGGACATAGGTTGGTTTTATGTTTTCCGTGTCGATGAATCCGAATTTTCAACTTCCACCAAAAATTACCCTCCCCCCCCCCCCCAGCCTACAAAATTTTGGAAAAATGAAAAAAATATCGTTTTTTTTTTTTCGAAAAAAAGCCGTTATTTTGTGTATATAAAAATTAGGAAATTCTGAAAGTAGACAAAATTTGCGACAAAAAGATCATACGACATTTTGACTTGGGGCGAATGACGATATTATGATAGACCCCCCCCCCCACTATATATTCTTTACCAAAATGTGTGGCACCCTTACCCTTTACTTACAGTATAATTTTTGAAAGAGTCCTATGGATTGAACTTTTTGAACAAAAACGCATCACCGAGGGGTACGGAATGTCCCCAGTGCCGAAGGTTCTATTATGTGTCTTTCTTGGGGGGTATTTTTAACCCCCCCCCCCAGACCCCCCGGTTCTATATTCTACACCACAATGTCTAGTATTCTTACCACTTACACCATAATTTTTGGAAAAGGTTTTAAGGGCTGAACGTTTTCAGGCTAAACATATCACCGGCGGATTTGGTGGTATGGAATGCCCCCCCCCCTCCCCCCCGCTCCAGTATAGGACGATATGATGGTAGTTGTAGGAAAATGTACACTGAATCTCTCTTCTATTTTCAGAGTCTATATTTTTAGCGCATTTTTTAAGATTGAAAAAAAATGTGCTATTGTTTGCGTTTTGTCCGTCCGTCCGTCCGTACCCACTTCTGCCGTTTCGAACTACTTCTAGGAAAATGGTCCTAGAGTCCTTGAATTTTTTGCAGTAGGTAGCCTATACCTTGAAGGTGTGCCAGACGGCCATCAAATTTTGCTGTGTAAAGGCCCCCCCCCCCACGAATTATTTCCTGAGATGATGTTTTTGAAAGTAAAACGTGCATAACTTTCACATACGACAACCAATAGGCCTCAAAGTTTGCATACGCATGCCTTTAGTGGTGCCAAGTTAAACTTTAGAAAATGCTGGAATTGGGGGGGGGGGGTAAACACATGTTCTACCCTTCATGGTATTCTAATAAAAGGTCTCATCGAAATAAATTGGTTTGTACAAACTATAACTTTCCCTTGCGACTCTTTTTCGAGTTATTTCAGTCCTCTTATCAAAGTAGGGGGAGGGGAAGGGGGGGGATTGGAACTAGTTTTATCTTTCATGGTACTCTAATGAAAGGTCTCAACGAAAGGAATTAATTTCTACCAGTATATTCCCTTATACCTCAAGAACGGATTGGCGGAAGAGTTCGAATTTGTACTAGTACGGCTCTGAACTAGGGCTTGTCAAAGATTTCGAGAGCATGAGTCATAGGGCATTTGATTATTCGGGGGCATGCTCCAATGAGATATTAATTGATTATCGATGGGAGCATGAGTCATCTTTGAGTGAGTAGTATAGGAGTCACCTGAGCCAGTTAACCCCCCCCCCCCCCCCCCGCCCAATATACAAAATCTACCACAAAGTAGTGGTGAAACGCTCCCTACCAGGGAAAATAATAATAATAATTTATGGCCATCATAATTTATACAAGAAAATAATGAACCCGTACCAAATGAGCCAAATGGCGGAATCTTTTCATGAATTCTTTAAAGCGTTTATATGCAACAAAAGCACGATGGCCGTAAGTCAAAAGTGAAATTGTAAATTTGATCTTTATCAGCGGAGACAGGTAACGGAGACCGAAGAATCGACTCGAAGTGAGAAGCGGAAATATTAGCCGCCTTTCATCAAACGTCAGCTCGCTGGAAAGCTTTCAGTATACATTAACACGAGCTTCCACTTTTAAAATGGTGTTTGGTTTCTTCGAAGAAACGACATAGGGAAAAGAACAAGGGAATGGAGGTGTCTAGGAGAGCACGAAATGAATATAACGTGTATAATGTTACATAATCAAAATAAAGTGTGATGGAAACAATCCGCGAGCACATCAAAGCCGAGGTATTGAGTTTTTATAAATATACGCACGTAGGCTGACGGAATTGGATTTTTCTGGCATTCCGTTCACATTCTCCCATCGACTTCTCCGTCTCTCTCTCTACCGGGCCGGCTCTCGACGTTACTTCTCCACGCTCATAAATTAATTTTTCTCCACAGACACCTTAGTAACGACTCCAGCTTTCGATATCGGAAGTTGAAGCTTCCAAATCGTTAATTAACGGCAAATTGTCGAAATCGAATTAACTCCCATACTTAATAAATTGGCGGGGCGTAAATAGGAAAGTTTGGAGGAAAAAAACGCAGCGGACATAATTAATTATTGGAAAGCGCGAGTGTACTTTCCAATTTAACTTTTTGGATTTGTTGCCGAAAGTTTCATAAGTATCGAGATTCCTTACATAAAATTTATATTATTAATGAGTTTTTTGATTCACTTTGCTTCCTTCATAAATTATGTCAAGTTGATTGCAACGTCTTTGCGTATTAATTAATGTCAATTTAAAGTGGAGGGTGATGTAGTCTATTTACTTCCTTTTAATAAGCAACATTCGGTACTCCCTCTGCCTCTTTGTAGCTACATTCTTAACATTGCTCTACGTTTACAATTATAAAACTTTACGATTTTGATTTGAGTTCCCTTTATTAGGTACTGTAACGTAAATTTAATTACGTAGTTTTATTTATTTACAATAAATTTATAACAGTAATTACAATTTATAACATAACACAAGCGCATCGAAGTTGGAACTAAACTCGAAACACAGTTCTAGAGCGTTCAAAGACGCTTCAGACTGAAGTCGAGAATTTCCTAAAGCTATTAAGAGAACAACGCTCTATATAAATCAAATGACGCAGGAAGGAATCATTACTTCTACCAACCATACAATTTGTTGGAAAATTTAACCCTCTAAATTTTAACACCCTGTAGACGTTCTATGATATTTAATGCCTAAACCGCTCTCGCCCTTAAATCTAAAAAAATTCAATTCGAAAAAAAATTACTCATTTAGAGCTACAGTTACAAGTATACAAAACCTTTAGGAAAATCCAGCACTATATAAAATGATTTTAAAGACGAACAGTAAAAGAGACCCTCGAAGTGATTTATTTTCGTTTAAACCAAAACGACAGACATTCGGCCCCTATTTATGTAAGGGATTTGTGTTTATTCGCAGAGATGATACGACGATAACAGAAGTGTCTTAACAAAGGTCCTGCCGATTTAATGAGAAATTAAGAGATTTAGCAATAAGCCCCCTCTGGGGAGAATTGATTGCACTAATTTATGGCGGTGTCCCCATCGGAAATGGGCCACCGTCGGTTGTCCCCAATAGTAAACATCGGCGAGGGGAGGGAGGGGGGGGGGGGAGTCGGCCGCGTGCGTGCGTGTGCTAAATCCAGCAGCACGAGAAGGTTTTAAAGGAAATCGGATATTCCAAAGAAAGCGAGAGTATCGTATCTTAGATGCGATAGCTTCAATCGAAGTTCTTTTTTATAAAATAACTGAAGCAAATAATGGCGAGATCGAAACAGGAATTTTCCCTTGGTTACTCCACCTTTTTTTTTGCGAGGTGTCGTTTCGTGATTTGTATTAAGAAAAAGTTCCAAATTGAAATTTTCGCCGTATCTTAATATTAATCGCCCCGACTACAGCATGCAGTATAAATCTTCCAACCTGTACTAAAACTTCACATAAAACCCTTTTGTGATTAATTTCGGCTCCGGAAATTATTGTGTAATTTATGAATGCGTCGTTACCACCCCATCCCCATCCCACGCCGCCGTCGACGCTTCTTTCGCCTTTTCGCCAACTACCGCCCCCCTACTCATCGATGCTGTAGTGGACGATCTAGCTTAACTAGAATCCGGGGAGTTATAAAAGCGGATAATTGGCCATTGTATTCCGAACTCGCCAAACTTTTGTTGTTAGTATCGTGGCTTTGTCTACCGACTGTACGTTCCCCGTATCTTTCCGCATCCCTTATTGTTGTTGACTTTTCGGCAAATCTTAAATACCTACTCGCCGTTTAACAATGCAATTCTGTTACAGCGCTGAAACCCAAGATGAAGAGTCACTATCGAGGACACAAAATGGCCGTCTGGTTAAATCTCATTCCCCAACTGCATCAGCCCGGTGACGACGACGTCAGTATGAGGCATCATCATTTCCACGAGCGGGAACAATATTACTACGCAGGTACGGGTACTAAACTATTTTTATTTCTGATAATTAGCGGTAATTAGTTAAAAACAATTGATTCAACTCTTGATATGAGGGCGTTTTTTTTATTTTCCTATGAAGGAAACCGTTTTTATTCTTTTTCCCTTCTTGTATCCTGTCTCCTTCTCTGCTACCTTTCATATCCATAGTTTCTTGTTACTTCTGTCTATATGAAATATGCGAAGTATGCGAAAAGTTGACGTTAAGATAAACAGCGTGTTACATTAAAGAAATATGAAATCTCAGAAACGGTGGGCCAAAACATTTGCGCCACTGAAGTAAAAATTAATAGTCCAGTAACTCTGTTCCTAAAAATGGGGGGTACCAAGCGTCAAATCCGGTAGTTCTAATTTTTTGTGGGATTGCTTATGTTGTTAACCCAATGTATAATTCAAGTTTTCGACCTCGAGCGGCGAACGCAACATAGTCAAATATACTAAAAACCGAAGAATTTTCGTTTTCTTTTCAGAAAACCTTCCTTTTTAACAAAAATCGACTCCACCAAACTTTCTCGGGAAAACACTTTTTCTTATTAATTTTGGTGCGTAGAATCCAAAACAATTCGTACTTTTTCGATCAGACTTCTCAATCAAAAGTTATGGACTAGAAACCAATTTCGAAAGAAAATTCAAAGGGCTGTAACTTTTGAACTAGTAGCCCAATTTTGGAACTGTTTGAAATTATTGATTCTACAGGCCACATTCTATATCTCCGCTGCGTTCTGGTGTCGGCCTCGAAGGAGGCGATATCTCATTACCACGAAACGCTCAGCGAGGCGCCTGCAGGGCATCGAATTGGAATTTAGCGGGCTCGATATCGAATTTAAAGGTGAGCCGGTCGAGCCGTCGCATTTTGTTTACTTAGAAAATTTTTTTTCCGGGTCGATCTGAGACAATTTTTTTATCGGGGCTCAAAAAAAAGGCAGTGTTATACCTTCCTTTTTTACCAAAAATCAACTACACCAAAATTTCTCGGGAAAACACTTTTTCTTATTAATTTTGGTGCGTAGAATCCAAAACAATTCGTACTTTTTCGATCGGATTTCTCAATCAAAAGTTATGGACTGGAAACTAATTTCGAAAAAAAATTCAAAGGGCTGTAACTTTTGAACTAGCAGCCCAATTTTGGAACTGTTTGAAATTATTGATTCTACAGGCCACGTTCTATAAGAAAAAAATTTTTCCGGGTCGATCTGAGACAATTTTTTTATCGGGGCTCAAAAAAAGGCAGTGTTATACCTTCCTTTTTTACCAAAAATCGACTACACCAAAATTTCTCGGGAAAATACTTTTTCTTATTAATTTTGGTGCGTAGAATCCAAAACAATTCGTACTTTTTCGATCGGACTTCTCAATCAAAAGTTATGGACTAGAAACCAATTTCGAAAGAATATTCAAAGGGCTGTAACTTTTGATCTAGTAGCCCAATCTTGGAACTGTTTTAAGTTATGGATTCTACAGGCCACATTCTATAAGAAAATTTTTTTTCCGGGTCGATCTGAGACAATTTTTTTTTCGGGGCTCAAAAAAAGGCAGTGTATAACCTTTTTTTTTACCAAAAATTGAATCCACCAAACTTTCTCGGGAAAACACTTTTTCTTATTAATTTTGGTGCGTAGAATCCAAAACAATTCGTGCTTTTTCGATCGGACTTCTCAATCAAAAGTTATGGACTGGAAACTAATTCCGAAAAAAAATTCAAAGGGCTGTAACTTCTGAACTAGCAGCCCAATTTTGGGACTGTTTGAAATTATTGATTCTACAGGCCACGTTCTATAAGAAAAAAATTTTTCCGGGTCGATCTGAGACAATTTTTTTATCGGGGCTCAAAAAAAGGCAGTGTTATACCTTCCTTTTTTACCAAAAATCGACTACACCAAAATTTCTCGGGAAAATACTTTTTCTTATTAATTTTGGTGCGTAGAATCCAAAACAATTCGTACTTTTTCGATCGGATTTCTCAATCAAAAGTTATGGACTGGAAACTAATTTCGAAAAAAAATTCAAAGGGCTGTAACTTTTGAACTAGCAGCCCAATTTTGGAACTGTTTGAAATTATTGATTCTACAGGCCACGTTCTATAAGAAAAAAATTTTTCCGGGTCGATCTGAGACAATTTTTTTATCGGGGCTCAAAAAAAGGCAGTGTTATACCTTCCTTTTTTACCAAAAATCGACTACTCCAAAATTTCTCGGGAAAACACTTTTTCTTATTAATTTTGGTGCGTAGAATCTAAAACAATTCGTACTTTTTCGATCGGATTTCTCAATCAAAAGTTATGGACTGGAAACTAATTTCGAAAAAAAATTCAAAGAGCTGTAACTGTTGAACTAGCAGCCCAATTTTGGAACTGTTTGAAATTATTGATTCTACAGGCCACGTTCTATAAGAAAAAAATTTTTCCGGGTCGATCTGAGACAATTTTTTTATCGGGGCTCAAAAAAAGGCAGTGTTATACCTTCCTTTTTTACCAAAAATCGACTACACCAAAATTTCTCGGGAAAACACTTTTGCTTATTAATTTTGGTGCGTAGAATCCAAAACAATTCGTACTTTTTCGATCAGACTTCTCAATCAAAAGTTATAGACTAGAAACCAATTTCGAAAGATAATTCAAAGGGCTGTAACTTTTGAACTAGTAGCCCAATCTTGGAACTGTTTAAAATTATGGATTCTACAGGCCACATTCTATAAGAAAATTTTTTTCCGGATCGATCTGAGACAATTTTTTTTTCTGGGCTCAAAAAAAGGCAGTTTATAACCTTCCTTTTTTACCAAAAATCGATTACACCAAAATTTCTCGGGAAAACACTTTTTCTTATTAATTTGGGTGCGTAGAATATAATTAATTGAATAATGCCTGAGGGGTCTCGCTCTACTCGCAATCTGCTTCTATACCAGCCGCTTCATAAGGAAGTGGTGGTCTTCAATAATTTTCGTTTCAAAATCGAGATGGCAAAGATACTAAGAATGTAATCGCATATAGAATATGAAGAATATAGAAGGTGCAAAATAGTGATCAACTAATACGCTAAAGAGTTACGGAAGTTGAGGAATCGATCCTTGATATCAAATCTCGTTCATAACGCGTTGACCCATTTCACAGCAACATGGCCGCCTGTTATCAGCAGGTGGAAAATATGTCAAAGGTGTCGGCACTTGCAGACAAATGGCGAGCTTATTCGTATGTCGTACCAAAAATCGTATGTCTTTAAACTTGAATTTGAACTAAAAAGTCGAGCCTGAACTTGAACTAAAATTAAAACCCTAAAAGAAATCGAAGGTAACCTTCCCTTGTTGATGTCATAAAATGTACGTACCTCTTAAATAAGAGGGCCAATCGTAGATGAGCAATAATTGTCGATGGAAACTGTAGTTAACAAATATCAGCCGTAACCTAAAGAAAGGTACACTCTAAGAGATTAATAAATATGGATGATGGCAATTAAAATTCCTTGCGTTTTAACTTGCGCTTTAGCTGTTTGTTTAAGCGAAGTGTAATACGGTTCACGAAAGAAAAGTAAGTGAAAATCGATACACACTGCGCCGTAAACTTGCATTGTTACATTACAACAATAGAGGGAGCCATCTATTCGTAAGTTACGGGGATCTTTCAAGAAGTAATAATCCATGAATAATAATAATGCTTTGTAATGGAGAAAATAAATGTTGGTTTCGTTTCGTTTATTTTTAACGAAGTCAAAACGACGGATTTTTGAAACTCGGTAGTAGTCCGCTAGGAAGGAATGAATCTCGTTGTATTGTGTAATCGGTTTTTTTATGTGTTGGGACGTAAGACATATTCGGGAAGGGAATTGAATAAAATGCAGAATTTTGCGCGTAAAAAAAGCAAGAACATATAAAATATATTACGCACACGACAAGGCGGTACCAGGAAAACCTTATATGGGCAAAAAACCTGACAGAAATACATGAAATAAATTAACTACAATAAAATGCAAAACACAAATCAAACATCTTAAATTGTACGATAAAAATCAGGTAAAGTAAAGTGTAGTAAATCAATAAGAACGAGACACACGAGAATTTAGTACTGGTGAGAGAAAGAGTGGCGTCCTATTTGTTTTCTGCATCACCTTAACAGTTCACCCATTCCGCCCTTGTATGGCAACAACAGTATTGAAGCAAAAGCCAATTCGTACGCCTCTTAACCCGAAAAGCAACGACAGACATTCAATTAATTCGTCAATTACAGCGAACTCCCAATGTTAATTCCACCTGTCCTACTCGCATAATTACTGAAACACAATACACCTCTGTTAATTACCTAATTAGACTAACAAGAGTGCGGTTTAATCCATCACGCTTGAAATAAAAAGGTGATTTATGACCGCGCCGCGGTTCAATAAATGCAATTATGGACTCTAATTGGACGAAATTCGGCCGAATTATTTGAATGAAAAATTGAATTAGGACAACAGAAACTACATACTAAGCGGAATGATACATCAGGCTCCCTTGTAATCCCAGCAATTTTAGCAAATCCATTAAGGCGCTGTATTATTAAACGGGTTTCTGGAAACGACAAATAATCAAATTTTGAATTCAATCTGAAAGTGGTTTGGCGTTTTTCAGCTTTCTGGTGGGGGAAAAATCGATTGACCCATTGATTTTGCAGTAAGTATCGATTAATTGTGGGAAATTTTGGGGGCCACCGGAAGTAATTTATCATTATTACCAATTAAGTGTAGCATACAAAACGTTTTCCATTCATCGATCACGCTAGTTATATCTGGTACCTGTTGAGACGTTGGAAATACACAAGAAACCTACTAAATTATTACAACCTGATTATACTTCGTGCGGGAATATTATGTCAAGGACAGTGGGTACTTGTAAATAATTAACCGAACTGGAATCGATTCGAAAAAGTTTTCAGTTTATTATTTGAGAGCGATCCTTGACATGCACAAACTATTATCGATTCATATGTCAATTACACCAGCCGGCGTTGCATACGTTCCAATGCCTTATTTGTGACGGTGCATTTTAATTAGTATGGTATGGATCCCGGTTTGTTTCCGAATGCATAAATTATGAGGAGGCTGTGGGGTTGTCATTCGGGTGAACTAATTTATGATTCAAACTCCGCATTACGGCTGAGTTTTACTTATACACGAAAAGAGTTCGTGTTTTACCCGTCTGTTATTTATTTACGTAGTCACAAATGCGCATCGCGGTACATTTCCTTCGAAGTAAATTCTAACTAACGATCTGTTTCTGCTAGGGTTGCTTCTGAAGGTAAGACGCACACAAATATAATTGTGTGGTTAGAAGAAAATAGCGCGCAACATGGTTAATTTTTAAGTTTAAATTTACCACCATCCAAAACACCCTCAATATGTTAGTCGATAAATCTCAACATCGCACAGCCGTATAAGTTTGTTAATTCATATGTCCATTCAGCTTTAATTCCGACATTGCACAACCGTAATAGTTTGCAACATCAATCAAATGAAAATTACATTAGAAACCCAAACCTAAAATTGATGTATTTTTTCCTTTTTCCTAAAATCATCCATTTCTCTGCTCTGCGCCCTTTTTTTTCTCCACACCACCTTCTCTATCTCTTCATTTCCGTATCTAAAACGCGCTATCATCTTGCTATTTTTTCTTCCCTTCCTAAGGGCGCAATTCACACAGAACAGGCGCATGGTGGTGGCGTGGGAATGGCGTGGTACAGCTGCGGAGCGAACGTGGCGCGCTCAATCCACATAGAAGGGGATCGGATCGGATACTCCATTTTCGTCATTCAGTATTCATTCGAAGTGACCTGTGCAGAGAAGTGAAAATGGAAAGGAAATTCTTGTCCTTCGTGTAGGAAATTTCGAGGAAATCGTTGGAAAATGTGTAAATGGACGAAATTAGAGGAAATTCCGAATACTAAAATTTGGGGAAATAGGAGGAAATTTCATAGCAAAGGGAAAATTCTTATAAAATCTAGAGGAAATTTTACGGAAATAAAAAGGTCCTATAAGAAAGTAATGTTACTAATTTCACGTTAATTCAGAGAAGTTTTATGTAAATTTGTGATAATTATAGAAATGTTGGGAAAATTAAGGGAAATGGTAGCCATTTTTAGGCAATAAATCTTTGTCCCCTGAAATAAACCGTAACCAACCCCGAGGGGTTGATCATGAAGGAAATTCTTGTCGTTCGTGTAGGAAATTTCGAGGAAATAGTTGGTAAATGTGTATGAAATGGACGAAATTAGAGGAAAATCCGAGAAAATAACTCTAAATTTTGGGGAAATAGGAGCAAATTTCAAAGCAAATCTAGGGGAAATTCTGAGGAAATCTGGAGGAAATTTTACGGGAATAAAAAGGTTGTATAAGGAAGTAATGTTACTAATTTCACGTTAATTCAGAGAAATTTTGTGTAAAATTTGTGGCAATCCTAGAAATGATGGGAAAATTAAGGAAAATGGTAGCAATTTTTAGGTAATAAATTTTTGTCTTCTAATATAAGCCGTAACCAACCGCGAAGGGTTGATCACGAGGGAAATTTTTGTCCCTCATGTAGGAAATTTTAAGGTAATAGTTGGGAAATATGTAGGAAATGGACGAAATTAGAGGAAACTCCGAGAAAATATTACTAAATTTTAGGGAAATAGGAGGAAATTTCAAAGCAAATCTAGGGGAAATTCTGAGGAAATCTGGAGGAAATTTTACGGAAATAAAAAGGTTCTATAAGGAAGTAATGCTACTAATTTCACTTTAATTCAGAGAAATTTTGTGTAAATTAGTGGCAATGCTAGAAATTATGGGAAAATTAAGTGAAATGGTAGCAATTTTTAAGCAAAGAATTTTTGTCCCCTATAATAAGCCGTAACCAACCCCGAGGGGTGGATCACGAAGGAAATTTTTGTCCTTCATGTAGGAAATTTCGAGGAAATCGTTGGGAAATGTGTAAATGGACGAAATTAGAGGAAATTCCGAGGAAATATTACTAAATTTTGGGGAAAGAGAGGAAATTTCAAAGATAATCTAGGGGAAATTCTGAGGAAATCTAGAGGAAATTTTACGGAAATAAACAGTTTCTATAAAGAAGTAATGTTACTCATTATACGTTAATTCAGAGAAATTTTGTGTAAAATTTGTGGGAATGCTAGAAATGATTGGAAAATTAAGGGAAATGGTAGCAATTTTTAGGTAATAAATCTTTGTCCTTTAATATAAGCCGTAACTAACCCCGAGAGGTTGATCACGAGAGAAATCCTTGTCCCTCATGTAGAAAATTTCAATGAAATAGTTGGGAAATGTGTAGGAAATGGACGAAATTAGAGGAAATTCCGAGAAAATATTAATAAATTTTAGGGAAATAGGAGGAAATTTTAAAGCAAACCTAGGGGAAATGCTGAGGAAATCTAGAGGAAATTTTACGGAAATAAAAAGGCTCTATAAGGAGTAATGTTACTAATTTCACTTTACTTCAGAGAAATTTGTGTAAATTGTGGCAATGCTAGAAAAGATGGGAAATTTAAAGGAAATGGTAGCAGTTTTTATGCAATGAATCTTTGTCCCTTGAAACAAGCCATAACCAATCCCGTGGGGTTGATCACCAAGGAAATTCTTGTCCCTCATGTAGGAAATTTCAAGGAAATAGTTGGGAAATGTGTAGGAAATGGACGAAATTTGAGGAAATTCCGAGAAAATATTACTAAATTTTGGGGGAATAGGAGGAAATTTCAAAGCAAACCTAAGGGAAATTCTGAGGAAATCTAGCGGAAATTTTACGGAAATAAAAAGTTTCTATAAGGAAGTAATGTTACTAATTCATTACACGTTAATTCAGAGAAATTTTGTGTAAATTTGTGGCAATGCTAGAAATGATGGGAAAATTAAGGGAAATGGTAGCAATTTTTAGGCAATGAATCTTTGTCCCCTAAAATAAACCGTAAACAACCCCGAGGGGTTGATCACGAAGGAAATTCTTGCCCTTCGTGTAGGAAATTTCGAGGAAATCGTTGGGAAATGAGTAAATGGACGAAATTAGAGGAAATTCCGAGGAAATATTACTAATATTTGGGGAAATAGGAGGAAATGTCAAAGGAAATCTAGGGGAAATTCTGAGGAAATCTAGAGGAAATTTTACGGAAATAAAAAGGTTCTATAAGGAAGTAATGTTACTAATTTCACGTTAATTCAGAGAAATTTTGTGTAAATTGTGGCAGTGCTAGAAAAGATGGGAAATTGAAGGGAAATGGTAGCGGTTTTTGAGCAATGAATCTTTTGCCCCTAGTGGGGTTGGTCACGAAGCAAATTCTTGTGGGAAATTTCGAGGAAATAGTTGGGTATTGTGTAGGAAATGGATGAAATTAAAGGAAATTCCGAGGAAATATTACTAAATTTTGGTGAACAACCTTAAACGGTCCGGGTACGGCTCTGTATCACTACTATAACCGTCGGTCCAATTGAAGAAGCTGTCAAGTAAGATGGGCAAAGGAATCTTAGATATCCTTCTACAAAATCCTCTGCTTAGAGTTAGTTTCAAGAACTTTAAACTTTAAAATTTGGTTTAATTTTTAATTATTTTAGATTCCGGCATCGAAATGATAAGCGTCGGTTGAATTGATAAAGTTGACTCGAATTGAAAAATTTCTACTAGATAAAGGGGCATCTTTGTAAATCTAATGCCCATACTAAAAGGTTTCGCTTCAGGATAAACTTATACGGTACGGCTATGACCAGTCTTGACGGTTGACTATGTTTGTAACTTCGGGGGTTTTGCCACATCTGAAGATCGTTCACAAAAGTGCACAAATATTCGAAAAAATATCGTTTTTGTCCCATGGGGACCAAGAGGTCAAAAAAATTGAGAGGATTAGTAGTAGTAAGTTTCAAAATGGTGGCTTTAGCACAGCGTTCGAAGGAAAAAAGTGACGGATTGGCAACACGGATGTTCCCGAAACAGAAGAAAAAGTAGTGATTGAGTTCAACTGCAGTCTTTGTTCCAACTCAAAGACATTTACAACGTCAGCAATCTGTTCAAACAACGAGGACATATTGAAAGCCCACCGAGCAGATTAAGGGGTATAAAAGAAAGCCCCCATTCCCTGAACGCGAAATTTATTCAGATTGAATTCGTTGATAAGAAAGATCTCACCGCTCCGTTACAATAAAACCGTTTATCCTATCAACTTCCAAACCATTTCCCTTCCTGTATCGTCGAACTTTAGCGCGAAAACATCGTACCTCATGTAACTGCATTCGTGCGTAATTTATTTGGAATAAATGCTCATGGGAAGAATTAGCCGAATTTTTCCACCGGCGCACCATTTTCCGAAACTTTCTGCTAAATCCAAATCTCGCGATTTATTAAGTTTGTCAGATTTCCATTCTAAATTGAGTCGTAAGCGCCCTTTAATTCCGGATTACTTTTTTTTTTATCGATAATACGCCGCTTGTCGTGGAGGGCGGGGGTGCAGGTCACAGTTTAATAATTAATTTCGTACTTGAACTACTTGAGAGGAGCGTTTGGGTATTAATTTCTGAATTTATGGGGTGGATTTGGTATTTTCTCGCTTGCTAAATGCCACATTAGTGAATATTCACTGAAAACATGTTGTTAACCCTCTCTAGTTTTGTGTAAATTTACAGTTTTCTATAAATCATGAACATATAGTACTTCATTAATTGTGAGCCTTACCCCCCGCTTGAATAGTAGATCGACCACCCCTGTCGACCTAATAACGCTTGCAGCATAAGCTTCTAGTTAAACACCATTATTTGGCTTTACGAGAGTGCATCGAAATGAACAATGAATCAAGCAAAACGCAACGTGGTCGAGATTAAAATGTAATTTAGATGGCACTCTGCGTGATGAATGTTGATGAACAAATTTACGGGAACAATTTAATAACAATATAATTTCGAAACTATTATAATATTAATTATCATTAACATCAAGACTGAACTTCTTGCAACAAATTACGCCCAACTACCGCTGACTGCGATACACTAAAAACCACCACCACCACCAAAAAAGCAACGATTAACCTACAGATTTTGAATAGGTTTTGTTTGTAGTCCTACTTCTGTTTTCACTTTGACTATTCGAACAATTCTATTTTTACCGGGGATCAATTCCATAACACGAGCTAACGGCCAAAATACACGTTTCTTCCGGTCATCTCGAACAAGTACAATTTCGTTTAATTCCAGCTTACGTGATGGCTTCTGATTTATTCTACTTATGAGCTGGGACAAATATTCCTTTCGAAAACGTTGTCGTAACTCATCTCTCAGTTTCTTCATGTACTTCCATCGATAATTCTTGACATGTGTCATAAAAGTATAAGACCTCTTAGTACAATTTTGCACAGTCAATGACATACTGACTCCTACATTTTCTGTCTTTTTCAATTCAGAATTTACTAAATCTTCAGCAACTTCTTCATTAGACCTAGGCCAGCTGTCACTTGAACTTTTTAACCACTCCGGTCCCTCCCACCATCTTTTCTCTAAAAGATGAGTCGGTAAGCAGCCTTTTGAAGGTAAGTCAGCTGGGTTCATGTTTCCGGGAACATGACGCCACTGTGTAGGATCAGTCAAATGTCGGATTTCTTTCACTCTGTTCCCAATGTATTGACCCCACATGTTGTCTTTCCTTATCCAGGCTAATGCAGTACTTGAATCAGACCAAAAAATAGTAAATATATCCTCAGCTTTTAATCCTTTTTTCACAGAAACAGCCAATCTTGTACCAATTAAGCAGCCTTGGAATTGTTATCCTCTTAATCGGGGCAACTCGAGACTTAGCAGAAATCAGTTGTATTGAAACTCCTCCC